AAGCGGGGGTAGTGACCGAGGTATCTCGAAGTTGTGGAGACCAACAAAGGCAGGTGCTACGAGAGTGCAGCAGGGTTAGGAAGGACACTAAAAAGGTGTAACACAGTGCTCTGGGCTTTTCCTCTCTGGCAGGCAAGGGAGAGGGCACTGTGCACCTTGATGATGCCTCAGTGAGGTTCACCTTGGACTATTAGAATCATCTGGTTGTATGCCAGGCATGGTGCACATGCCTGTAATCCCAGCACTCAGGAGGCTGAGGCAGGAGGATCGTTCTGAGTTCGAGGCCAGCCTGAGCTACATAGTGAACTCAAGGCCAGCCTGAACTGCATAGCGAGACCCTCTCACAAAAAGACAAAAAAAGCACCTGGTGTGATCTGACTGTACGGACAGAGCCTCAGGCACACAAAGGGAACGGGGCTGGGTGTATTGGCTTATGTCTGTAATCTCAAAACTCTGGAAACTAAACCCTAGCAAGACTCTGCCTCAAAATAAAAAATAAGCTGGGTGTGGTGGCACACACCTGTAATCCCAGCACTCAGGAGGCTGAGGCAGGAGGATCGTTGCAAGTTCGAGACCAGCCTGGGCTACAAAGTGAGCTCAAGACCAGCCTGAACTGCATAGCAAGACCTTGTCTCAAAACTACCAATAAATAAAAAAATTAAAAATAAATTAAAAAGGGCTGGGATATAGCTCACCCTGAGTTCAATCCTAAGAACTACTGCATGAATGAGACTGGGCTGGTGAGATTTGTTTTACTGAAGAGCTGGTTTTGTGTCACACAGAATCTTTTGGTAATGGGACGTTAGCCCAGGAACAGTTAAAGTTTTTGCCATCACTTCTCTTGAGCATTCTCTGAAGTTGGGGGAGAGAATGAGGGCTAGTAGGGAGTCAGGTGAGCAGGCACCCAGAAGAATGCATATAAGCTAATGCTAATGCCTATAAGCTAATCACGAGTTCTAAAGCCTTCACGCTCAGCATCCCATTTGCTCTTCACAGCATCCCTAGGGGAGAGGCACTGTTCTCATCTTCTTACAGGAGTCTGAGGTAGGTAAGAGAAGTACCACACTAGTTCAGCTAATGTGTGAGGGAGGGGTGTCTGAGCCATGCACTGGAGCTGCAGAGTGACCGTTCTGCTAGTGGGTAAAGGTGCCCTAGCATGCTTGTAGCCAGAGTTGAGAGAAGGAAGCTAATTCTCAGCACCCCTCCTTCTAAACAAGTAGGCTTCCTAATGTTTAAAAAGCTGAGTAAAGCTCTCATGCATTCTGGAACACTGGCAAGAGTTTGACAAGTGTCTGATTTCCAAGGTCGTTGTTTCCCTTTTCTGCAACCCAGCAGTGACTGGCTCCTTTCCAGTGTCCAGCCACCTACCTCATCCATCTACCCATTCTCTCAAAACTAACTGCTTAATGGCTCTCTGGTAAGTCCAGCCAACTCCATAACGGTGCCTGGAACAGATCACCTGGAACGACTAATAGAACTCATCCAGTCTTTGAAAGTGGTCTTTGATCAGTTCCTCCTTTGCCCACTGCCCACCCCCACAATTTAGGCTGTTTGGTCTACTTTGCCTCACATTCACACAGCTTTCTCTACCAGGCACAAATCTCAACAGCAAACTAGTTCTGGATTTAGAGTGTGAAAGTTGTGGGGTAGGAGAAAGAATGTCTGAAGCTAGAAGAGTCAGATACACAGCTTCTCAGACCAGAATTTCTCTCCTGTATCCAGCTCATCACTGTTGCCTTTACCTGGTTGCCATGGAAACATCAGTCTCTGGTGGATGGCAAGCAATACTTTAGACAGAAAGTATCAGGCTACCATGGTAACACCAAAAAGAGTAAACCTGCATCTTCTTTTGGATGAGAAAGGAATGGATGAGGGTGCTAGAGAAAGCAGGCTAGAGGAGACAGCTTTTGAAAAGCTCGACTCTGACTTTTAATAAGAGGGAATTAATTCAACAGACATTTAATATGTACAAGGAAAAGCAATAATGAAAAAGACGTATGGTGGCCTCATCAGGCTATAATTATCTAGGAACAGAGTTTACAAAGAATTGTAAATAAAGGCATAATGAGACCCACAATAGGGCAAGGAATACTGAGAAAGGAGATTAACTCCAACTAAGGAAGTTGAGGATCTAATAGGGAAGGATTTTACCCACCAGGAGGAAGAAGGAGCAAGATGAGCAAAGACTACGCAGTGGAGAAATTCAGGACCGAGGCTAGGGGTGCAGCTCAGTAGTGGAAAGCCTGTTTAGCACATGTGAGGGCCTAGGTTCAGTCCCCAGCACTTCCCCCCAAATCTGTCTACTGAGAGTAGTGAGTGTAAGGACAAAGTGACACCTGGCCACCAACTCCAAGTCCTGGCTTCCACAATGGTCCTGAGAGGCACGTAAGGTTACAAAAGGCCAAGGGCTCTGACACCAGACTGTGTGGACAGGAATCCTGAACTTCCTGTGAGAGCGTGGAACACATTCATCACTCAGTCACTTTGGGTACCAACTTCACTTTCAAAGTAGACAAAACAGTTCACCTTGAGACACTTGTGAGAATAACATTATTTAATACAGGCACAATGGTCAGAATTGGGCCTGACCAACAAACCCTGCACAAACATAGCAGTCATCATCACGCCACCTTCTACTTTCTCATTTTTCTGAGCCACAATTGCTTCTTTTCACTGTCCACGTGTTCCCCCTTTATTCCCATCAGCCCTTCTTCACAGGGGAAAGGTGGACTGTGGTGTGATTTCTCTCTTCACATTTTTAACCCATTTCCCCTCATAGTAAGGGCCAGACTAAAGGTTCACAGGTCAGGCCTCTGTGAGCCCTGCTGACAGCTCACAGCCAGAGCTGGAGGCGGAGGAGGGGGAAGGCAGAGCTCCTATGCCAATACACAGCAGTTAAAGGAGTAAAGGAAGGGTGCTGCCTTGGGAAGACAGAAGTGGAGGCTGCAAGTCCAAAGTCAGGTGAAAATCCTACCTGGAGGGGCTGGGGATTTAGCTCAACAGTGCCTGTCTGGCAAGCACAAGGTCGTGAGTTCGATTCCTGGTACAGGAAAAAAAAAATTTTTTTTTTAAAAATCCTACCTGGAGCTTATACCTGATAGGGAAATTCTAATTCTACTGGGCAGGAATCTGGGTCAGTTTACCTGTGCCAGCCTTGCTGTGGTGGGAGAGCTGGGAGGTTTCTGTTGCCGTAGGCTGGGCAGAGAGGCTGTTCGCTGCCCCCTTCTTTCCACTCTAATCACCCCCTATGGAGGATGAGTAACAAGAAGGCACTGAGTCACGCACGATGACACTAGCTGTCACCCACTAGATGCCTTCACCTTATATGGGGTAAGCCCAGAGCAGAAGTTGTCTTAGATGTTTCCCTACTTCCACCATCTCCCTCCTGGCAAGAAGCTGTTTGAGGAAATCAGGGAGCAAGGAGGTGCTGAGGCGGGAGGTGTTCAGGAAAGCCAACGTAGCCAGAGGTGGGAGTGTGAGGAGAGCAAGCAGAAACGAGCCGACTCAGCAGGACAGGGAAGCAAGGCTCTGCACATAATTATGCTGAGGAGCCCAAGCCAGCCATGAGGAGTCCCAGTGCGTGGCTCAGGGTGACTGACAAAAATGGTCCCTGCTGAACCTGTAAAGATGCATTAGCAGCCAAATCAATACTATTGGGGGACTGGATCAGAGCCAGCAATTCCTACTTTAAAATGGTGCATCCTCCTTCCCTTCCCCCGGGTCCAGAAAGCAAACTGGGATAGGACCGGAGAGCATAGGGCTGACTGTGAAGAGCAGCAAGCAAAGCCCAGGAGCAAGTCCAGAACCCCAGCCTCCGACGGCACACGCAGGCACAACCTGAGACAAACACCACCACGAAACCATCACCCCACTTAGAAGTCTGAGAGCTGACAAATTAAAACCTAACAGCAATTATCCATATTTTTAGCATAATAAAGTCTTAACATTCTGTTGCCATAGAGATCAGTAAAGAATGGAGGAACCCCACAGAACCCTGCCCCTGAATTCAGGCCTTCTCTTTTCAGTTGGTTCCTAGGGTAGTGAGCCATGCTCTTTCCCACCCCTTGTTATACAGAACAGCCAGGGGCAGGTGCACCTGCTCCCCTATGCCTAGGACTATCACTGAAATAAGCAGTGCTCCGGAACCCACTGGCCCCAAGCCTGGTACTCTAGGCAGAGCCGCATAGGAAAAGCAAGGGCTGACAGAACCAACCAGGAAGCAGCGGCATCAGCTCAGGGGGTCCCTGATGTGTATCTAATGCCCAGACCCCATGGGGTACTGGACTGGGATTTCCACTACTCAGTATCAAAATAAGGCACAAAGTCAGCCCAACAGGGTAGACTGTGAGCTTAAGCGGCTTCTCTGGTACTTAAGCTCCTCAAGATCACAGAACACCACTAGAAAAAGGTATAGGATGTGCTAGTCACACTGCCATCTGGTGGAAAGCTAAGATTTGTCCTCAAGCATAGAGCAAGAGACTGGAAATCTGGTGGGCAGGTAGGTAGGGAGAGGCACTTAAGATGACACTACACGGAGGAAAGCAAGCAGCAGAGAGCGTAATGCAGACACAGGCGGGGAATTCCATCGAGGTGTGAGCTGTCTCCCACCCCCAATACATACTGAGATGAGTTACATCTCTTTTGGAGAACAGAGCTCACTAAGTTGCCCTGGCTGAGCTTGGGCTTGCAGTCCTCCTGCGTCAGCCTCCCAGAGTCCTAGGACTACAGGTATTTTCCACCATATTCAGCTCCATTTTGCTTTCTAAATTTTAAAACAAAATACAATGGTATTATATATATATATTTTATTTCCCTAGAACCACCATGATTTTGGCTCAGAAATTAACATTATACAGACATACCAACTGACTCAGACCACATAGACAGCAGCCACCACAACACAGGGCTGGGCTTTTGTACAAAGTTTATTTATTTTATTTTTAAATTTTTTTTTGGTTTTTCTCCGGCACCAGGAATCAAACTCACGACCTTGCACTTGCCAGGCAGGCGCTGTACCACTGCGCTAAATCCCCAGCCCCCTGTACAAAGTTTATATATTTATTTATATGTACAACACAGGGTATAAAACCCAGTGAGAAGGGCTCACACATGCCCAGGTAGGGGTAGGAGGGGCTTTAACCACTGGGGGTGAGGCCACAGTGGAGGCACACAGGAAGAAGTGAGGAGCATCAGCACCCGCGCCATCCTCCCAGCCTAAGCCAACGGGAGGAGCTGGGGGGTACGCAAAGGAAGATGAAGAGACTGGAAAGGTGCCTCACCTTCTTTTCCTGAACTCCAAAAGCCCCTGAGGCATCCCAGCTGCCTCGCAAGACAGATGTTCCCTACTCCTCCCAGCAAGAGCCTGAGCCTGCAGTAGCAGTTCTTGCCCTTCAGCTGCACCAAACTGAGGCCTAAGGCAGGCTCCACGTGCACATGTTCACGTGATCTTCCAGGGTCCTTGCAGCCGAAAGCCAGCGCTGGTGCACACCCTGGACTCCAGGGTCTTCCGGATCTAGAGGTCCACCACGTTTCCTATAACAGGTTACAGGTGAGGGTACAGGGAATGGAGAGAGGTTAACCCATGTGTTAATGCCCCTTGGCCTTCCCAGTGGGGGCGGAGCCAGGAATCACTGAGACTTGGTGGGAAAGGGCAGGAAAGTCATCTTGGTACTCAGTGTAGGTGTGGATCCTGATCTCTCCAGCTGGGGGCTTTGCTGAACCAGTCCATTCCCAAAGCGGTACGGGCAGCAGCTTTCTTCATTTCTGAGTGGCCCCAATTCCTGCAGTCAATGTCCTTGTCCTCAGGACGGCTTGGTCCACAAAACGGAAGTCAGGCAGGAGCAGTGTAGATATGAAGAAGCAAGCAGCAGGATTCACAGGCACAGGGAGGCAGGGTGCTGTGCCACTGATTTACCTCTGGCAAGGAAAAGGGTAAATGGAAGCCACAAGAAAGCCAGACACTAGAATAAACCAGGGCCTGAGACTCACATGGTCGGGAGTGAAAAAGCTGCAGAGATGGAAGCACAGGGATGCAACTGCCTGTGAGGTGAGGCCCAGGCTGGACTCTGAGCTAGAACAAAGAACGGAGTAGCTGAGTGAGCAGAGCACTCCCTCTTCCCAAGCCCAAACACCACCTCCCTCTCCCAATTTAAGTCTATCAGTCAGAGCCACTGGCTTCCAAGCTCCCAAGGGAACCGCCCCGTTCAGTTGCAAGGCAGCAGCCTGGGCGGCTGAAGCTGTGGTTGACAGCTGAATTCCAGAGCCTAAAAGAAGAAACAAAGGTGAAGTTAAGTCCCAATCTTTGATTGACAATTCAACCCTATGTTTTTGGGGGTTTGCAATGTTGGGGATAAGACCAAGGGTCTTAGGCATACTGGGTAAGAGGCTCTAGTACTGAGCTATACTCCCCAGCCCTAACTCCATATGTCTCACTGAGTAGCTACCTTACCTTCTGCCAGTTTAGCCATGAGCCATGTTATGGTTTGTGTCTGGGTGTCCCCCAAAGCCATATGCAGTCATGGGGTGGACTTCTAGAGTTTATGATTGATTCATGGTCCAATGTTGGGATAATGGATATGAGTGCTACACCTGCCCTGCAGCGGATAGTCTGCATACAATGTAAGGGAGGGAAAGAGGCTGCTTGCCACAGCTCCTCCCTTTTGCTCTTGCTGCTTTTGCTATCTTCCTCCACCTTGAACTGTTGCTCTCTGCCATGTGCCACTCTGCCTGGGAGCCAGCCAAGTATGGACTGAAACCTCTGCAGACTGTGAGCTAAATAAACCTTTCCTTCCTTAATTTTGGGCATCAGGTATTTTATCTCAGCGATAGAAAAGTAAACAAGACAAGCCGCAAACATCCACCTGTTGATCCAAGATCCAGCTCCTGGTCCCCATCAGGAAAAGTGATGTCTGTGCCACCATCTAACTGCTCAGTCACGTGACCAACTCTCACAGTTGACCAGCAAGTTCAAAGCCATTCAGTTGTTCCAGGGCCTGCCGGGCACACTCAGAGGCTGAGAACTATGAGAAACCCAGGCTGTGTGCTCTCAAAGCCCCACTGAGCACCTCCTAGTCTTACTCTCCCAGGAAAGGTTCGTGCTCACCACAGTACAAACTTCTTTCCCACAGCATGCGACCTAAGAGCCCACTGCCCCAAATGGTTCCCTGAAAAGGACCAACCAATGGATTCACTTTACTTTTCTTCTTTTCTTTTTTTTTTTTGGCACCAGAGTCTTATACATGCATTCACTTTTTGATCTTCTAGCTCCACTATGGATCATGTAATGCATAAAGTCTGTCATCTACAGCGGATCTAGGCTGAAAGGTTGTTTTACAAATGGGCATATGAAATGAAAGTAAGGTAGGCTGAAAGCCAAAGCTCCTGGATTTTATTTATTTATTTATTTGCTTATTTTGGCACTGGGAATTGAACTCAGGACCTTACGCTTGCCAGACAGGCACTGTGCCCCTGAATGATATCCCTGGCCCACTCCTGGATTTTTAATTCATTGTAAATTTTAGTGCTTTTTTGTTGTTGTTTATTTTTTTATTTTTTTTATTTTTTTTGCAATACAGTCTTGTTATGTAGTGCAGGCTGGCCTCACACTTGTGGCAATCCTCTTGCCTCAGCCTCCTAAGTGCTGGGATTACAGGTGTGCACCAGTACACCCAGCTGTAAATTTTATTTGGCACTGTGCTGCTGAGCTAAATCCCCAGCCCTCTTATTTTATGTATCTGTTTATTTATTTATTTTTGGTGAGACAGTGTCTCACTATGTAGCTTTGTCAAACTCAAAGCATTTCTCCTGCTTCAGCCTCCCAAGGTCTGGGGTTACAGATGTGCTCTGCGACACCTGGCTGAGGTCTTATCTGACTTCATGATGTCTTATTTACCTGCTGAGTAGCATGAACAGATGCAGCCTGAGTTTCACGGGCTGGACCCACGTGTGGTGAGTTCATCACAGCCAGACAGAACAGAGGTTGTCACCCTCCACCTTTTCCAATGCCCTTTAGAGGCTTCTCTCACTTTTTTTTTTTATTTTTTTGGTAGTACTGGGGCTTGAACCCAGGGGTTTCACACTGAGCTACAATCCCAGCCCCTTTTATTTTGTATTTTTTTGAGACAGGGTCTCACTAAATTGCCCAGGATGGACTAGAACTAACAACCCTCCTGCCTCAGCCTCTAGAGTAGCTGGGGTTACAGGTATGTGCCACCACACCAAACTTGCTTTCCTTTCCTACTCACTTTGCTGAAGGGCTCACAGATGCCGCGGAGTATGTCCTCAGTGCTACCGAGTGCAAGCAGTCCACACAGGGACGCATCAGCCCACCACTACCCTCCGCAGGTTGTTGGTCCTGGCTGCCAGTAAGTCCTTCTCTGCCTGTGGAAGGAGGAAATATATGACGGTCATGTTCCATGTTCCTCCCCACCTGGCGGTCTTGTACTGCGTCCCTTTCCCAACCTGCTCACTGTGAGGCCTGTGCGATGACAGGCTCCCAGCAGCTACTGCAGTCAGACCAATGGCCAGCGCACAGACTGGATTTCACAGAATTCCACACAGGCCACGCCTTTAGAGCGATATGAGTTCCGATCTGAGATGAAACGCACATGGCGAACCTGCCCCAGGGCACAAACGAAGCCCTGAGTTGGGCATAATGAGAGACAGAAGCCAGGCTACTCAGAAGAAAACCAAGGTGAGAAGGTTACCTTGCCAACAGCTGAAAAAAAGTCCTCCAGGTCTCAATGCCAAATACGGGCTGCTAACTGCATGCAGAAAGCAGCGGGCGTCTCACTCCTCGGGGCTCAGATTACCTGTGGGCTCCGGGCTCCACTTCCCTGCGGTCGGCCTCAGCCGAGCGCCTCGCATACCGCCCCCGACCCCCGACCCCGGTCCCCACGCGGTGCTCACATTAACCAGCCCTTCTCTCTGAAACGAGGACTCTCACTGTGCCTGAGCAACAGGGAAATGAAGGGAACTTTTCTCACACTGGTCTGCTGCTTCTCACAAGTGAGCTGAGCACAGGCTGAGCACCCCGAACCTGAAATGCCACAAAATCCAAAACTGTGCTATGTCAACACGACCCACAAGGAGAAAATACAAAACCTGCAGTTGCAGCCAGGACAAAAGCAAACTGTTGGGCCTGATGGGACATGTCTGTGATCCCAGCACTTAGGCTGAAGCAGGAGAACTGCCACAAGTTCAAGGCCAGCCTGGACTACACTGCCAGATCCTGTCTCAAAAAATTAAACACCCATACACATACACATACACACCCACACACACACACACATAAAAACAAAAACAAAAACAAAACACCAAAGGCACACTAACAACATAAATGGAATTTTGTGCTTAGACTTGGGCCCCACCCCCAAGGTATCTTACTATGTATGTGCAAATATTCCAAAGTCTGAGAACCACAACTCCAAAACACTTCTGGTCCCAAGCATTTCAGATACAGGGTACTCAACCTGTACCACCCCTCCAATGACTGAGTACCTACCTATCACAGTCAGTACCCTCAGGCAGGATCCATAGTACATTTTTTTTTCCAGCAGATTAAAATAGAAGAGTGATATTAGCAAAGGAAAGAGAAACTGGTTTAGGGGAGTGGAAAAAAAGAAACAAGGGAAAAACAAAAGAAAAAAATATATATATACAAAAGATAGTTAAAATAGTTATACTACTAATTTCTCTCAGTTCATTGAAAAGATAGGTTTGTGCTAATATTATTTGGACAATTAAATGCTGATATCTCGTATTCTGAGTGACTAATTTAAAGAAAACATATGCCGTGTGTTAACCATTGTTACCTTACTATCATATTGTTTTGGAATTTTGTTTCTTGTTTTTTGCTTTTTGTTTCTTTTTCTTTAAAATTTAAAAAAAAAAGGGGGGGGGGCTGGGGATTTAGCTCAGCAGCAAAGCACCTGCCTGGCAAGCGCAAGGTTGTGAGTTCGGTTCCCGGTACTGGAGAAAAACAAAAAAAAAGACCAATAAAAAAAATAAAAAAATAAAAAAATAAAAAAGAAACTAACAGCAATATTCTGTAGAGGGGTATGTCTGGTTTCAATCATTATAGATTTCATTGGCTGAATTCTTTTGATCATTGAAATAAAAAAATTTAAGAAGATTAAAAAAAAGAGTGATATAAGAAAAAGGTGATACCCAGTGGCAAGTGGAGGACTCCCATAGCACACACGGTCCTCACGATGCCAGTCTTGACTTCATGGTTCATCATTATGACAACGGTTCCATCTTCAGCTTCTGGCTCGCTGCAGATGATCATGACTTTGGCTCCTACGACTTCTTGGTGTCCATCCTGGTGTCAACTACGGCTATACACAGAAACAACTTCTTGTGTGCTTTTTTTCTTGAGACAAAGTTTTACTATATAGTTCAGGATGGCCTTGAACACACTCTGTAGCCCAGCCTGGCCTCAAACTTGCAGCAATCCTCCTGCCTCAGCCTCCCAAGTACTGGGATTATAGGCATGAGCCACCATGTCCAACCTCTTGCAGCCTTTACAGGCCATCATGCGTGGCAGCACCCAGCTCTTTAACAAAGGGAATAACAGAGGAAGCAAGGAAACTACCCAAAAGGAAGTAATCAGAATGACAGACTTTGGGCCAGGTGTGGTGGCGCATGTCTGTAATCCCAGCACTCGGGAGGCTGAGGCAGGAGGATCGTTGTGAGTTTGAAACCAGCCTGGGCTACAAAGTGAGCTCAAGGCCAACCTGAACTGCATAGCAAGATCCTGTCTCAAAAAGACAAAAAAAAAAAAAAAAAAAAAAAAAGAATGACAGACTTTGATATCAAATGTCAGCTACCCAACATGTGCTCCACTGACATTATTTTCCAGGAGAATTAGGACACTGGCCCTAGTCTGAGGTACAGGGACTGTTTACTGACTCAGTTACCAGGAAAGCACATGTTACCACCACCACATTCTGTGCCCACCCCAGGTTTTCAGGGCCCCCTCTAAAAGTGCAGTCCTTGAGTACAGGTCCCCGCAAGCTTACTAAGACTGCGCTTTTCACACACAGTCACTGGACACAAAGAACAACCAGGGAAAGAGGACTCACAGTGTTCAGACTGAGGATCCGCAACCATGCTCTTATCATCCAATTCTAAGGGTGGTGCAGGGACTATCACCTCCTCCTTTTTATAAGGAGCGTCCAGCATGGCCTCAATCAGTACATCAAACTCCTGTCAGATCTGCAGAGAGGATACCGACACATAAGATCTGATTTATGCCAGGCATGGTGCACATGCCTGTAATCCCAGCACTCAGGAGGCTGAGGCAGGAGGATTGTCGTGAGTTTGATACCAGCCTGGGCTACAAAGTGAGTTCAAGGCCAGCCTGAACTGTATAGCGAGACTCTCTCAAAAAGACAAAAACAAAACAAGAATCTGATTTATATTTTTCCTCCCCTTCCAGTATCACATTCCTTTCCCTCTTCAAGAAACAGACTTCAGAGCCAGATGTGGTGATGCATGCCTGTAATCCTAGCACCCAGAAGGCTGAGGCAGGAGGATCATTGTGAGTTTGAGGCCAACCTGGGTTACACAGTGAGCTCAAAGCCAGCCTGAACTGCAGTGAGACCCTGTCTCAAGAAAAAAAAAAAAAAAGGAAAAAGAAAAGAAAGGAAACAGACTTCAGGATATATGGTTCTGTTTCTTGAACTCCTAAAAGATCTTACCAGCTGCTGTTCACCCTACGTTTATTTTTGCACAGTGCAGATCTGAAATAGTTCTGCTCTGTGCCTTAGAAATGGTCAACAGTCTAGAAAGACACTGAATACCTAGAGAGAAAACACCGCACAGATCCTTACCCTGTAGAGAGAAAATATTGGTACTCAAAATTACTACTCACTTTACAAGGTACACTACAATACACTTCTGCTGTATTGTTCAGAACTCTGAATATCTAGTTTAAACTTAGACCATAAAACAGGCAAATACTTCCAAGAAAAAGGTACAGATGGAAGATTAAAAATCAGAAGCGAGACAAAGCAACACTCCAACAACGCAGATTTTCATTAAATTCCTCCCCACATACTCTGAACACCAGGAATCAGTGCCTGTCACTGAGCATTTTCTGTTCAATACCACACAGAGTTGAGGTAACTAAGCCAGGCTAACCATTTCCCCCGGGAAGCCATTCTGTGGTGGGCCTGGCAGAAGCCACCCTCACACGAGCTTTCACATCTGACAGTGTCATTCCTCAAGCTGCCCCTCGCACATCTGTCAAACAGGACAAACAAGAGATACCAACACAATCAGTAACATCAAAAACTGTTAGTCTGGAGTTAGTGATACAACATCAGTGAATCTCAAAATAATTATACAGAGTAGAGGAAACCAGACCAAAAAGATACATCTCTATAAAATTCTAGCAAATGCAAACTCACCCACTGTCATAGAAAGTGATCAGTGGTTGCGGAGGTATAGGAGAACAGCAGGTGGGGACAGAAAGGATTTTTTTTGTCTTTTTGAGACAGGGTCTCGCTATGCAGTTCAGGCTGGACTTGAGCTCACTTTGTAGCTCAGGTTGGCCTCAAACTCACAGCAATCCTCCTGCCTCAGCCTCCAGGGTGCTGGGATTACAGGTGTGCGCCACCACACCCAGCCAGAAAGGATTTTAACAGGGCACAAAGTGCTCGCTTCCTCAGTACATATACTAAAAGGGCACAAAAAATCCTTTGAGAGTAATAGCTTTGTGGATGTTTATACATATTAAAACCCCCAGATGCCGGGCATGGTGGTGCATGCCTGTAATCTCAGCACTCAGGAAGCTGAGGCAGGAAGATCACAAGTTGAGGCCAGCCTGAGCTACATAGCAGAGACCTTGTTTCAACAAAACAAAACAAACAAACAAAACCCCAAAACAGACCATACATTAAAGCTTTACTGTGTTCCAATTACATTCACCTCAGTGATGCAAACAGGCTATCATAGTCACTTTCCACATGCTCAAAAGCTCTGTCTTCTCTAAAGTAGCTAATGTCGTCTAAGGCGGCCATCCTGGTTACCCTTGGAGCCCACACCCCAGTTCACAGTGCAGTGTGTGCAATTACACTTCGCAGTCACCAGGCGCTGTGGTAGGCGCATTATGGAGTAAGATTCTTGGAAAAAGTACTTGGAGCTAAATTTAAGGCTTAAAATGGAAATCAAAACAAAAATCAAATGGGCATGTCTAAAATCTAGTGAATGCCATCTCTTACACTTATTTAGCAATCAAAGGTAATGTATGCTGCAATTGGGTAATATCTGATCCATCCAGACCTTTTTCTTTTCTTTTTTTTTTTCAGACTTTTTTTCTTTTAGACAGGGTCTCACTATGTAATGCAGGCTGCCTTGAACTCACCGTGTAGTCCCAACACGAACTCGGAATCAATCCTTTGCCTCAGCCTCCCAAGTACTGAGATGACAGGCGTGTGCTACCATGCCCAGCTTAATGATTCAGATTTTAAAAACTGAGGTTTTGTAAACTGTCCAAAGTCATATAGCTCACCTGAAGAAGTTAATTCTCTTTTAATTTTTAATTTTTAGAAGTTAATTCTTGATCAGAGAGGTCTTCTGACTCCAAGTCTAATGTTCTAGCCATAAGGTTACTTCCCGCTTGTATGGTTTACAACCTCATTTTAAAAGAAATGAAGGGCCGGGGATATAGCTCAGTGGCATAAGTGCCTGCCTGGCAAGCGCAAGGTCCTGAGTTTGATTCCTGGTACCAAAAAAAAAAAAAAAAAATTAAATAAATAAAAGAAATGAAAAACAAACCTGGGAGTGGTGGTACACACCTGAAATCCTGGCACTCCCAGCTCTTGGGGGCTGAGATGGGAGGATCCTAAGTTCAAAGCCAGCCTGAGACACAAGCAAGACTGTCTTAAAAAAGAGATGGAAAATGAAAAATGCCGTTGTCTTACTACTTTCTCCTTGCTAGAACATACCTAACCCCACAAGTTAAAGGAGAAAAGGCTTATTTAACTCCTGTGTACAGGTTTCAGTCTGTGGTTAGCTGACTCCAGGGAAGGGAGGGCGACATGGTAGGCAGGAGCGGCAGCCTTCCTTACCCTTATATTCCATCCAGGCTACAAGCCTGTCACCCACAACCACCCACACTAAACTATCAATGGACTAATCTAGTTATTGCGCCTATAATCCAGTGGCACACCCATAAGCCAGTCTCCTTCCAAAAGCCCTGCCTGTGAGCATATGAAGTTTTGGGGGGACATCTAGATATAGCTATAATAGAAGCAAACTAAGTTTTTACTATTTTCCTGAAGCACTGGGGAAAACAGGGGCTCCACACTGAGCTGCATCTCTCACCCTTTCTATTTTTGAAGGAGGGTCTCAATAAATCACTAAACTGCCCAGGCTGGCTTGCATTTAAGATCCTCCTGCCTCAGTCTCCCATAGTGCAGGGATTACAAGAAAGCACCTATATGCCCAGTTTAAAATGTTTAATTAATGAATGAATTTTTGTCTGAGACAGGATCTCACTATGAAGACCACACTGGCCTTCAACTCACTATGTAGCCAGGCTGGCCTGGAACTCAGGCAGTGATCCTTCTGCTTCAGCTCCTCAAGTGCTAAGACTGTAGGCATGAACCATCACACCCAGTTTACTTTTGAACATATATGCACTAAACATGGAATGGTCTGATAGTTTTATCAAAACAATCAGTCCCAGAGCTGGGTGTGATGGTGCATACCTGTAATCCCAGCACTCAGAAGGGTGAGGCAGGAGGATCGCCACAAGTTTGAGACCAGCCTGGACTACGAGGTGAGTTCAAGGCCAGCCTGAACTACAGAGCAAGACCCTGTCTCAAAAAACAAGAACAGGGTCTCTGTACATAGCTCAGGCTGGTCTTGAACTCACAGCTTCCTTCCTGCCTCAGCCTTCCTGGGGCTCGGGTCACAGGCATATACTACCACATCAAGATCAAGAATTGGTCGTCGTTAAGTGAAACCATATACTAGGAGTAATTTAACAACAAAAAAACCAGAAGTTTTCATGGAAGATTTTTTTTGGTACTGGTAATCAAACTCACAACCTCACGCTTACCAGGCAGGTGCTGTGCTGCTGAGCTATATCCTTGACCCTCATGGAAGTGTGTTATCCTCTAGAAATGAGCTCTATGTATGAAATGTTCATTCAGAAACAAATGAACAAACTTATTCTCACACACACAAATTTAGTCACACACCATGTGTTGGGTTGGGGTCATTTGCAAGGTGAACAATATAATACAGGACACATATTTTATAAGATTATGTATAATAGTCATCCAAAGAATCATATACAAGAGAGTGCAGGAAATCTGTCCACACACTATAGACCAAGTAATCTAGCTGAGGGCCTGGATCCCACAGAAATGTCCTGCGTGAGTCCAGCTGAAGACCTAGAGCTCATAACAATGCCTCTCACGAGTCCAACTGGAGGCCCAGAGCCCGTAACAATGTCTCATGCAGGCTTGTTTCACAGATCTGTGCTGGCAAGGCCCAAAGATCGGTGGTGGAATCTAGAAAGTTTGTGCCAGCAGGATGAAGGATCTGTGCTATCAGGCTGAGGGATCTGCACTGGAGCCAGGAAACGCGTAAAGTAAGAACCACAGCTCCCTTGAAAGGTACTATGGCCATCCTCACCAACAGTGAGGTCCCAAGCACCATCTTCCCCTCTGGAGCCAAGAGTCAGAGCTCCCCCAAAGTGAACTGAAGCCATTCTCAGTGACAACGAAGTCCCAAGCTCCTCAGAGGATGAGAAGAGCTGAGTTCATCAGGAAAGCCAGCATGACAAGATCCTCTGAGAAAACCAACAGCTCTTTACAGCTTCTACCAGCTCCCAACACCCTCATCTCAGCTCCCAACAGTCTCTCTTCTTCTTCTCCAGTTTTGCCTCTTATGCTGCTGGCAACAGTCCTCAGGTGGATCTCCCACACCCAGCATCACGCTTACTCAGTTCAGCTGGGTGTTACAAGATGCCCACCAGTTGTCAATCCACTACACAACACATAATATTTCTGTCAACAATGACATACATACATGCAGTAGACCAACAGGATTGTTTATTTTTTAAGAGTAGGAAGAATTTATAGAGAGATAGTTTCTGTCTGAGAGAGACAGAAAGGGGCCCAAAACATAGGCTGTCCACCAACCCTACTTCTTAAGGGTATTTTATTGAGCAAAGCCATGAGGTGAGGCAGGTTCAAATGCGACAGAACTATAGTTAATTAATAAGATTACAGGTATAGTTGCTTAAGTAATATTGGTCCAATAGGAAGTCTCAAGGTGGATATGAGGTGGGACAAAACTATAGTGAACCAGTAAGATGACAACAACTATAGTTGCTTAGGATAACACTGATCAAATGGGGATCAAATGGGGAAGCAAATCATGTAACAAGGGCACATGGCACAGACAAGGACTTTCCTGGAAGGGGTGCATAAAGGAGGTTTTGGTCCCCCACCCAAAGTGATTGATGCCTATTTAAAGTATCAGTCACTACTGTGCATTCCTAAGTGAAATTGTTTTTTTTTTTTTTTTTATATAGGGTCTCACTATGCAGTTCAGGATGGTCTTGAGTTCATTTTGTAGCCCAGGTTGGCCTCAAACTTGCTGTGATCCTCCTGCTCTAGGCTTCCAAGTGCTGGGATTACAGGCATGGACCACCACACCGGCTGGATTACTCTTTTTGGTTTTGTTTTTGAAAGAGGGCCTCCCGATGTAATCCAGGCTGGTCCCAAACTCAAGATGATCTGCTTCACCCTCTTGATTGATTCATTGATTGACTGACTTATCTTTCTGAGACAGGGTTTGGCTATGCAGTTCAGGCTGGCCTTGAGCTCACTTTGTAGCCCAGGCTGGTCTTGAACTCGAAATGATCCTCCTGCCTCAGCCTCCTGAGTGCTGGGATTACAGGCGTGGGCCACCATGCCTGGATGCCTCACCTCAGCCTCTTGAGAGACAGCAGGAAGATTGCTGCGAGTTTGAGGGCAGCCTGCCCTACATGGTGAGTTCAAGGCCAGCCTGAACTACATAGTAAAACCCTGTCTCAAAAAAAAAAGAAAAAAAAAGACTCTTTAAGTAACTTACTGGTACCTTCTCTGCCAAAACCAGTGTCTCAGCATAGTACTCAATTCTCACATGCTGCCTCACCATATGGTCTATATACCATAGACCAGTATCTATGGTCAAAACAGTGAAAAGCTGGACTGGGGATTTAGCTCAGTGGCATAAGCGCCTTCCTGGCAAGCTCAAGCTCCTGAGTTCAATTCCTGGTACCCCCCTGCCAAAAACGTGAAAAGCCAATGGAGGTTAATACAATTAATGTGAGTTTTCAAGGTACTGGAAATTGAGGGGGGAGGATCTCACTAAATCACCAAATTGCCCGGGCTGGACTGGACCTTGTAATCTTTCTGCCTCAGCTTCCCAGATTTCTGGGATTACAAATGGGGGTCACCACGCCCAGCATAGGAAATCTCAGTTCCCGTATCTGAGTGGTGGCACAGGAGGCTGAAAACATGTTTCCTCTCAGGCTGCAAAGGATCGAAGCTCCCTCTCCAGTAGGGATGACTTTAAGGATTACACTGCGAGAACATGAAAAGAGATAAAAGTCACTGGCATCCTTGTAATTGCATCGTTATAGATATAGGTATAGGACATGGCCGATATAGGAGGATGCCGATCCCTAAAGTCAGGTCAGTGGGCTACATTTAGATAATGAACACTTCTAGAACACAATAAGCTAAAAAACTGTTTTGTTTTTTACTTTAAAAGTATGCCTCGGGCTGGGGATTTAGCTCAGTGGCACAGCGCCTGCCTGGCAAGCGCGAGGTCGTGAATTCGATTCCCGGTACCGGAAAAAAAAAGTATGCCTCACTCTATCCGTGACGCCATTTTCTGTCTGTGACGTCCCTGGAGGCGCCCTGCTTCAACGTCACACATACGTGACGAAAGGGGAACAAGGTTGAGGGATTTCTCACCAGTTCCGGGTCCCCGCAGGGGGAGGCCGGTTTACTCCGTTCCTTTGGATTGCGTGTGGGGGAACGCGAAGTTCACCTGTTTCCTACAGTCTCAGCAGTGAAAGCATTACTACAGCCAGTTACTCCTCTTCCCACAAAATGGCAGGACCTTCACTATCTTCCACCACCTTTCGCAATCTGCGCGTGCGCAGCAGCACTGGCGCAGATCAAATCTCACAGTTTTGGCGCAATAGTCCAAAATACAAGTTTTCATTGGCTTATACCCTCTTTGTGGGTGGAGCCAAACTCATGTTTCTTAGCAACCATCAACTTTCCATTGACTGGCTAATCCCTCACAGATGAAGGGCGTGAAAACCTCATTTGGTAGCCGCCCATCACTCTCTCATTGGTTAAGTGATTGCGGAAGGCGGGAGAAAGCGTCCTGAACAAGAGTGAAGGAGCTGCTGGTCCTACTCACGATTCAACTCTTTGGGTAGAGCCAACGGAGGGAGGAAGGACGTCTTTGGCCGTCCCTAGTCTGATTTTACAAGTAGGGTACGTATTCGTTCCGCAGACAGCTTTGTAGAGAGCAGTTGCGCTTTTCTACTTCGGGGATGCGGGACTCCACACCCCCATTCTGCGCGGGTTCTGTACCCAACCCTCCGGACCATGGCCTGCTGAACTCAGTACTCAGGACCTGAGAAACGCAGTCTTGTCACAGACTCGTCTGCCACAGCGCCTAGTCCCACAGGTCACATACCTTCAGCTCAAATCAGTGCCCCCACACACCTCCCACTGCAAGGGTAAATTGAGTTTCTCAGGTAGTGCAGTATTTTGTCCTCTCACCAGAAAAAAACTAATCTCCACCTTTACTTTCTAAGCGCCTTCTCGACCCTCTTAGAGACTTCATCTGCCAAATATAGCTGCCAAAAGCATAGCTGGTTAGTTGGAGGACTTGATCTCTATGTACTGATACGTCATTGTACTGATTCCCTTATGCAAAGTGGAAGCCTGGACTAATGATCTCTTAAGATTTAAAACTGCAACCGTATGATTGACTCATTTTTTTGAGCCAGTGTTTGGGTAGCCCAGACTGGCCTCAAACTTGTGATACTGCTGCCTCAGTCTCCCAAGTGCTGGGATTATGGATATGGGCCACTACGCCTGGTTTAAGCCTGTGATTTTATTCAAACAAAATAGGTAGCTTTTTGCTGGAGATGACTGGGTAGCCTCGTTTCTCTTCTAAGTAACAGGTCTTGGCAGTGCAGTGGTCCAGGAAGGGAGAAGGGAAGCTAGCTATCACTGTCACGCTTTTCCCGCCTCCTCCCAGAGCCTGACCATGGATCCTCAGACAAGAGTTCACTGGAGCTGCTCAGGAAGGCCCATGTGTAGGAATCCAAGAGTTACCATTTTGTGTGCATGCAGCCATGTAGTTCTGGGAATGGAACCTTACTCTGCCCCTGAGCCACACTCCCAGTTCTCACTTAGTTTTTATTGTCATTGGTGATACTAGCGACTGAACTCGGCCTTCACCCTGAGCTACACATCCAGCCTACTGTATTTTAAAAATATAATTCTGAGCACTCAGGAGGCTGAGGCAGGAGGATCATTGTGAGTCTGAGGCCAGTCTGGGTTACAAAGTGAGCTCAAGGCCAGCCTAAACTGCATAGGCAGACCCTGTCTCAAAAAAAGAGAAAAAAAAAAAAATATAATTCTGAGACAAGATCTTGCTAAATTGCCCAGGCTGGGCTCCAACTTGCAATTCTCTTGACTCAGCCTCCCAGTGTTTCTTAAACTAGGTACAATGCATCTTAGCTGAGACAAGGGCATACAGACCTGAATGAATAGTCTTGGATCTAAGCAAAGTGTGGAGAAAGAGAGGCAAGGGGCAGCAGAGCAGAGCCATAACTTCGCTTTATTTGTATTTCCTCTTATGCAAAACCACCAAAACAAGAACAGAGAAGGACGGGGAAAGGGCGGAAGAGCAGTTCAATCACATGTTCTCAGGGCCATTCCACAAAGTCCTTAAGGCTGAGTGCCTGTTGATGCAGCCTCACATCCCACACTGTAATTCCGTACACCCTGGCCCTCGACCTTGGTAGAGTGCTGGCTTGAGCCCTGCAGTTAATCTTATCCTTTGCCCATCTTGTTGGAAAGTAGCAAAGCAGACTGAAAGGCTCCTCTCAGACGGGCAAGGGGACTCACAGATGTTCTGCACCCCTAGGTGTACTGCACCTTTTGTGCTATCTAGGCAGGCCCTAGATGCTTGCACCCAGGACTAGAGGCCAATGGTATACGAGCGGCCTGTGGGGTTATGGATCGCAGAACAGACCGGTGCAGTCACAGCCCATTCGTACCACACCTTCTTGGAACTGCTGCATCTCCAGAAACGCACACAGATGGTCTGGCCTTCCCGCACTGTAATGGGCTGCTGTAAGAAGGAAGACAGGGAGGGTCAGGGTAGAGCTAATGAGTTCGATGGAGCAATGCTTAGAGGAGCTGTGTAGATTAAATACACGAGAGGCTGCGCCACCCCTCAACTGCTTGTACCAAATCTATCAACAGGGAACAAGCAGACACTGAACAAATAATCAAAGGTGTGCTAGGGACTGTGCACATGTAGCAGGTGCCATAAACCTATGAAAGAGAATGCTGACCTCATCAAGCAGGTCAAGGAAAATTTATCTGATGGCAGAAATGTTCAGGGAGACCTGGAAGATTAGTTAGCTGGGTGGCGAGATAAGCAAGGAACTGTACAGGTCTGAAGGCCTGAGGCAGTACCTCTAATACCTCACAGTATTACAGGAACCAAAAGAAGCCTCACAGGGTCGAGGCAGCGGGAGCCAGGGAACAGCAGGTAACAAGGCAAGCAGAACTACAACTTTTTTTTTGTCTTTTTTGAGACAGGGTCTCACTATGCAGTTCAGGCTGCCCTTGAGCTCATTTTGTAGCCTAGGCTGGTCTCAAACTCGCAACGATCCTCCTGCCTCAGCCTCCCAAGTGCTGGGATTACAGGCGTGCACCACCACACCCGGCTTCTACACCAACTCTTATAAGCAAAGCTGCCACAGGTTTTTGCCTTTGTTCCAAAGAGCAGTGGGAAGACATTAAGGAGTTAGACAGGAGGGAGATTGGAGTTGTTGAAAGATGGTTCTTGCTCAAAGTAAAGAATGGATAGGAAAACTGAGGCAACTGCAGATAATCCCAGTGCCTATCACCAGGGTCCAAGAGCACGTTAGAGCGAGCAGAACATGGGTCACAGCTGAGTGTCATCCTCGGGGAAGGAAGGAAAGGGCAGGGAACTAATGGCAAAACTTACTCCTTAACCTACAGGGTCTTAAATGCAATTCCTACCTTAATGGGGAAGAGTATGGGGAACCATGAGAACATCCCAGGAGAGTGAGTCTCTGGACGGATACCTGTGTGAACAAAATAATGAAAATATCAAAGTCTCAGCCGGGTGTGTTGGTGCATGCCTATAATCCCAGCACTCGGGAGGTTGAGGCAGGAGGATCATTGTGAGTTTGAGACCATCCTGGGCTACAGAGTTAGCTCAAGGCCAGCCTGAACTGCACAGAGAGACCCTGTTTCAAAAAGACCAAAAAAAAAAAAAAAAAAAAATTAAAAATTAAATCAAAGTCTCTGCTGACTCTGGGGCTCCCCCGGAATCTAAACGAGGCATGTACACAAGCCACTCTGGCAGCACAGCCTTGCAGCCTGCCATCCCTTGCTGTAGACACTCACTCAGGGTGATGTCCTGATAAAGCACAGTCTCAAAGTAGCCTGCAAAGCCATGCAGCACCGTGTTCACCTCCACGGGAAACTCCAAAGTGCAGTAGCGGTTGTTGTCAATCATAGGATCTGTCAAAAAAGAACTGGATGACTGAAGAAGGGCCAGGGGCCCAGACAGCAAAACACAAGCATTGCCCAGGAATGGAAGCCTCACTCGCGCAGATTTAGGACACCAGCAGGAGAAAGCACAAGGGTGAGCTCAGACTTCTCCCGTCAGGACAGCCGTGCGAGAACCTACCTCTGTTGGGGTGGCTGAAGGTGAAACAGGGCTGGGGTGCAGAGAGCTGGTGGAAGTTGTGCAGGCGCACCACATAGGGCATCTCAAACTGGGCCTGTCCCGAGTGAGAGAGAGAGCGAGCGAGAGCTGGAGAAAACAGACAGGACACCAACTTCCCCAGGGAAAGAAGCTCAAGCTCCAAGGACACAGGAAAAGATGACAACACAGTTTCACTTCAACCACTTCCCCCCTTCTTTAGTGGAAGAGAACTACAGGACGAAAGAGCACTTCCTTCTGGAAGAGCAGCTCGCTCTTTACCTCAGGGTCACGGTCCTTCTCCCGACAGGCTCGGACCTCGTTGTACAGCTTGGAGGAGGAGATGGGAGCCAGGAAGGAGGTGTACTCCCCGGGGATGCTCACTCCGTCATCTGCACAGCAGGTGCCACGTTAGTTCCCCAGGGAGGAAAACGGTGCCTCTGCCCGCACCAAAAGCTCAGACCTTCCACATCACAACCAGCCAAGCTTGGCAAAGGCATGATGGGAAGAGACAGCTTGACGTCACCCTCCCAGGCGGGTCTGCTCCCAGCTCCTCTCAGGGGGATTTCACTTCTTTAACTTGCAGAGTTAGTCACCGAAGATTAAAACTGAAGGAAGCTCAGCTACAGTCGTGTGTTTATCTCACTGACGGGACAAGGCCTGAGGCACGCTTTCATCACTGTGTGAGCGCAGCAGTGTATTTAACACGAGGGCCACAGTGTCACTACATGATACGGTGCTTAGGAGACCACCACATGCGCAGTCCGGGTGATGGAGATGTCACTAGGTATTCTAATCTGATGGTTCGGAACTTCTGTGTGGAGTCACAAAGCTCCACAAAAGTTCCTGATGAAAGCTAAGCTCAAGGCACCTCTGCCAGCTCAGGGAGTCTGTGGTCCTCAGGTAAAGAATCTGCTCTACTCCACTCCCCTCCTCTCCTGTGCAGTGAGCAGCTCTCAAAGTCAAATGATCTGACCCAAGTCCACCCATCTCCCCCTGAACCCTGTAACTTCCCCCCGCTGCCCACTATATACACCCCAACCTGAACATACCTTTCAGGAAGTGCTGTGCTCCATCCAGACACTCCGGTGACAGCTCATTGTCAGCAAAGGAGCCCAGAAGCTCGCTGACAATGACGTCCGCTTTCTCTGGAGCCACCCATTCCCGCATGTCTGATGAGACTACTGTCACCTGGCTTCCCCATTCTTCAAACTGCCAGTTCTCCAGCCTGAAGCAGAGATCATACAGGTGAGGAGCGATGTTTCGGCAAACTGGCCACAGGGACAAGTTTCCGAGCAGGCAGGGTCCTACTCACGTCACCACAGCGTTTGGGTTCTTCTCCACGGCATACAGCTTTATCCGCCGCTCAGCCTGCTTGGCGGCCCGCAGGGAAGCATTCACAAGGGGACCCCGGCCTGCTCCCAGCACCATCAGTACCCTGAGAAGGGCAGAGTCAGGCAGATTAGGCATGCCGAGGAGTAGACATGCTTGCCCCTGGGGCAGCAGGAAAAGTACTCACTGGACATTGCTGTCCTTCTCTTCCTCCGGGACGCGGTCCAGCAGACATTTATAGATGGCCTGGAGGGAGAAGGATGGACGTCACGGCTACAATGCCACCCTGCCCAAGGTTATCCTGGCCCCGTGTGCATTCCCAACTGGGCCCAACACCGTACCTGCTGGTACTGCGAGTATTTGATGGGGTCCTTTTCAAACACTTCATAGGTCTGCGATTCCAGATTGTCCATCAGTGGCTGATGAATGGGAGGAAAAAGACAAAGTAAGATAGCCAGTTCCTATCAAAAGACACTGTATCAAGACATCAAACTCCCTGCCAGCTGGGCAAGGTGGTGCAAGTTTGAACCCAGCCTGGGCCGCTTCCTGACTTGGTGAGACCCTGTCTCAAAAATACAAAGGGCTGGGGATTTAGCTCAGTGTGAAGGCCCTGGGTTCAATCCCCAGTACTGTCAAAACAAACCAGAGCCAAAGCAAACCTTTCTACTATCTGCTGAGATCTGGTAGGATTTGGGCACCCACTCTCAAGAGATGTCCCCCCCCCCCCCCCCCGCCCGCCCGCATCCCAGTGTACTCCAAACCCACCTGGAGTGGCGACTGCAGATAGTCTTCATAGCCCTTGGCAAAGAGTTCATAGGCATTGGGTGGAGGGCGGTTCTGGCTTAAGTATTCCAAGTACTGGAGGTAGGAGCAGAATTCCTTCTCTGAGTGGTGGTTGGTGCCCGTGATGATGAACTGCACCTCCAACTACAAGACAAGCCAGGCCATCAGACACAGCCCTCGACCAGGACTCCAGGACACTGTATTACAGTTCACAGCCAAAGAGTCCTACCACAAAATAAGGCCTGGACCAACAGTTGAGTGTATGCCCACAAACTATGAAAGCAGCCTGAGGCTTCCGTAAACCTAAAAAGTCTCTAATACAATATAAACATCATCCTAGCTCAGAGCCACAGGAATCCTTGCTGTAGCTTCCAAAATAAAATCTGCAAATTGCTGAGTTTTATTCCTTTGGCAAGGTTTCTGGAGCTCCTACTGACACTGGCTTCATTGTGCTCAAGGCCCCCAACTTTCCTGAAACTGCTCTCTCTAGAAACTACAGAGGGAACCAGTCCCCCCCCCGCGGGGGGGGCATCATACACATGAAAATAACGGGTACAGCCAGGCCACCTTTAGAGCACTTCCACCCACCTTGAGGAGACGGAAGATCAGCCTCTGGTGCATCTTAGAAAGAACAGGAAATCCCTTCTTGTTAGTCAGGAAAATGCTGGTAGGAAGAATGGCTGCTTTGATGGGCTCCCCAAGCCAACGATCAATGACATGATTAGATGGGAGGTCTGCCCCAATTTCAAGAGCTACACAAGGAAAGAGAGAGACCTGTGAACCACTGTCAGGCAAGAAAGTCTTCCTTACTCCTTTGTACAAGATCTGTTTCCTCTTAAGAACAAGGCATGGGCATGGTAGACAGCATGGTGGCACACACCTGTAACCCATCCCAGCACTCAGGAGGCTGAGGCAGGAGGTTCACTGTGAGTTTGAGGCCAGCCTGGGCAAGTTCAATGCCAGCCTGAACTACACAGCAAGACCCTACCTCAAAAAATGACATTAAATAAAAGAAAAGACAAAAAAGGCAGAACAAGGCACAAGGAAAATAATCAAAATGTTGATTATCCATGAAACTGCTGATTTTTTTTTTCCCCGGGCTGGGGACTGAATCCAGGGCCCTGTCACTAAACTATATCTCTAGTCCTTTTTTCCACTTTTTTATTCTAAAGACAAGATCTCACTTAAACTGCCCAGGTTGGGATCCAATTTGCAGTCCTCCTGCCTCAGCCTCCCAGAGTGCTGGGATTACGTGTGTACACAACCACACCCTATTTTAAGGCTTTACTGATTTATTCATGAAAGATCATACCTATCCCAAGATCCTCACAGGCTTACCTACTGCAATTCTCTTGCTATAGTCACACAAAGTCCGGAAATTGTGCCACCTGTCCAGTCAAATACAGAAAAATACTATCAATATACAGCCCCCTGCCCTGCTATTTCCACCCAAACTTTCCCTCCGCTTACCCCTTCCCCTGGTATAACAGCAAAAGGAGACATACCACATCCACGTTTTCTCCTCCCCACTGTACTCCTGTGTGTGTGTAGTAGGTGCATTTTCAATTATATCATCTCTCAGGTCCTCTGGTGCCACCAAGGGTACCCTCATCCAGAACTGCACACAATTGAATACCAATTTAGAACTCTGTTTTGAATTCAAGTCCAGCAAGCTTTCCCCAGTTAAAAGTATCTTGAGCTAGACCTCAAGCTGTCCTTTGTTTAGAACTGGGGACTTTGTTTGAACCCGGGACCTTCACTCTGGGTTATATCCTTAGTCTTTTTAAAATTTTTAATTTTGAGAGAGGGTTCACTAAGTCACTAAGTTGCCCAGGCTTGGCTTGAATTTTTGATCCTCCTGCCCCAGACTCCCAAAGTGCTAGGATTATGGGCATGTGAGACCATGCCCAGCTCAAGTCAATCCCTGCATATACTTTTCTTAACTTATGATTCTAAGTATCTTGTACATATCTTTCTACAAATATTTGCCACCTTTTTATTTTCATTTTAGCTAGAAACAATTATATATTCTGCATGGGGCTTTTGGTTTTATTACATAATAATGGAGATAGAATCCAGGGTCTTCTTCATGCTAGGCAAGTGATCTACCATTAAGCTATACCTTCAGTGTCATATATCCTACATGTGGGATTTTTTTCTTGGTTTAGTTTTTCCTTTTTTATTTTTTTGTCTTTTTGAGACAGGGTTTCACTATATTGTTTAGGCTGGCCTTGAACTCACTTTGTAGCCCAGACTGGCCTCAGACTCGCAGCAATCCTCCTGCCTCAGCCTCCCAAGGATTACAGGTGTGAGCCACCACACCAACTATTCGTTTTGAAAGTCTGCATACTATTTTTTTTTTAATCTATGTATCTACCTAGTAGTGTTGGGATCGAATTCAGGGCCTTATCTATCTATCCATCCATCCATCCATCCATCCATCCATCCAGTAGTGCTGGGATCGAACCCAGGGACTTACCCTTCCTAGTAAAAGCTCTACTAATGAGCTACCCCTCTTGCCCTGCATAATACTTTTAGGTGGGGGGAATACTGACATTTCAGTTCTGCCAAATGCACCACTGAATGGCTGGGTACAAGAAAGTACTTAGCAAAGCTCAACTATCATAACATGCACCAGGGAACAAGCCCGGCAGCCATACCATGGAGGAGTGGTGGCCAGTGTGGATGTGGTTGGTCAAAACTCTGGCCAGGTTTGTGTTATCTTCCTGATTAAGAGGCAGCAGGAAAGCTGGAAGACCCAGATATGCCCCAAAATTCAGCTCTTGTAACATGGCCTGGAATAGAGATCCAGAGGAAAATGTTAGGAGATAACAACCAAATCTTTTTAATTGCATTGTATGAACTGATTTACTTTGGTATCCCAGGTCACTGGGGAGAGGGATGACTTCCCACCCACCCCGGTGACAGAACTAATCTTTATAAAGATTCCAGGGAGAGGTCAGTCTTACCGCCTCAGAGTTCCTGCGGATCTTCTCCACTTTTGAGTCTGGATGAATCCATGGGGAAAGCTTTCCCACAATTAGCGTATTCCAGTCTGCACTCCCCAACCCAAGAAAGATAAAAGACTGAATGAGGCTCAGCACTTTACTTGTTCAATTCCTAGTTCTTAGCAGGAAGTAAAAAGCAGAGGTGAGAAACAAAGACTTTTTTTTCTATCACAGATATGGGATAGTCTGATGCATAATAGAGAACTAAGGCTTTTAGCAATAAGCCAGGGAAAACAAGTTATCTATATCTCAGGTACTGACCAATATATCCAAGTCAGGAAAGGAGGAGAATGAGGGCCCTGATAAAGCAGAAGCTGTGCCTCTAATAGTTAAGGAGCGTATGGGATGGTCCCTACCCCTTCCTGACAGCAGTAGGTCTGATCGTGTCTGGGGGCCAGGCCGATTCTTAGCAGGTTCCTGAGTGAACTCCCTCTTGAAACGCGGGTGGAAGACAGGCATGCAGAGGAAATCAAACCTACAACCGCGACAGACCCAGAATCATCATGTAAAGTGAGCAGCAGAGCCTAGAGACCCAAGCAACTGGGTTTAGGCTATTTTGATTTTCCACAGCCCTTTCAGGAACCATCAGTCAACCCACTGGGCGCCTGGTTTCAGCCCACTTCGGGGCATAGCACTTCTGTTACACTGTACTTCAATTTCTCCCCACAACACGGCCATGGAATAGATGTGTAAGGAGAAAAGAAGGAAATCCACGCTAACTAGCATCATTCGTTCTCTTCTGGACTGGCACATCCAGGTTTGCCCCAGTACTCCTTCATGCCTCCCCACTCAAGATTAAGCTCTTCTCACCCTTGCCCACTAACACTTCCTCCCACTCCCAGCCAACATCCTCAACTTCCAAGGCCCTAGAGTATTGGCTGTACATCCCTTGAGTTTACCAAACAACTCCCTCGACTTTTGGACTCAGTGATCACACGCCCCCATAAGTTTCAATCCTCGCGTGACTGGGGGCCGAAGGTTCTCCCCTCCGAAAGTAAGGTTCCTCACGCCCTCGTCCCCTATGACTAGTCTGCCCTCTCCATCCCCGAGTTCGAACTCCGCACTCGCTTGCGGAGGTGCGGCCCTCACCCCTGCTTGGCCACAGCCCCTAGTGTGTCCGCTATTTCGGGGACGCAATTCAGATCCCTCCCGCTGGACACGCGGCTCCCACCGGCACCACCGACCGCCATCGCCGCCATCTTTGCCCTCGCGCTCTCCACGCCGGGATTCCTTGATACCAGCAGCCAATCACAAAGCCGAAAAGCGTCCTCAGAAGGCGGGACGAGTCGCCCTAACAACCAGAGCGTCTTCCACGGCTCGCGAGGCAGAAGGCGGAGGGGGCGGTGCGGTACCGTCCGCCAATTGGAGGACAGGACAGTGACGTCCCGCGTGGCTCCCGCCGCGTCCACCAATCTCCGGGGCTGCTCGGTGAGGCGCTTCAGTCTCCCACAATGCCTCGTGTATCTGTAGAACTCTGCTAAGAGACTACACGTCCCATGAAACCCTGCCGTATAAGCTTGAAGTGTCATCACTGAGACCAGTGTTCTCGTCTCAGGGCCAGTGGCGCAATGGATAACGCGTCTGACTACGGATCAGAAGATTCCAGGTTCGACTCCTGGCTGGCTCGTTGGGACTGGTACTCCTTTATTGCAACCCTAAGCTGGCCGCAAGTAGCTACTATGTCTAGACTTCCCTTTCTAATTTTTTGCTTTTTGCTTAGTTTCCTCATTGTCTCTTCACGCTCACATTTTCAGGTCTTAAATTGTTTGGGTTCTGTAGCTATCCTGTGTCATGTTTTCTTATCACTCCCTTCAAAGGTGTTCCTTGTATCTTTTTAAAAATTAATTTGAGTACAGAAAACTGAGTTAATGGCTGAGATTGCTACAAATGGGCTTTGTTCCCTTACTGTACTACATTTTAAATAGACTGGCTAAGCCAATAGTTCTAGTGCTTCTCTATCTCGAATACAGACGAGGTAAACAAACACGCGCACAGCCCTGGCGATAGAGAAAAGGAACTCATGGTGAGCAGGAGAGGTGAAGAAGTGGGGAGGGAAATGGAACCCCAGCAGGCTGAGAGGCCACAGCGTTGAGGAGCCGGCAAGGAGGGTGAGAGAAGACAGCAGCAGGCGTTGGCAGGAGTCAGGGAGCGCGCAGAAGTCAGAGGCGATGCCCAGGGCTTGCTCTGCGGGGGTAGTGGGGAGACGAGATGAGAAACGGCTTAGGGCAAGCGTGGCGAACCTGTGGCACGCGTACTGCAGCGGGCACGCAAAACCCTGTTAGTAAGCACTCTAAATCGCTCCAGTCAAGGTTTGACAAATTATCAGCACGCATACAACAGCAAAGATCATGTTAATTGTGCAGAACCGTGCCAGATGCAAACTTACCTTTCAATACGAAGCTGTTTGTTTCACTGAAAGCTCTGTTACTGCGTTTTTCTTTTAAGACAAAAGAAGTAAATGTATGAGTTGTTTTTTTTTTTTCAAACTACAATCTCAGTATTCAGGTTTAATTGCAGTGTTGGCACTTTGCGATAAATAAGTAGGTTCTGGGTTGCAGGCTGGGCGCTCCTCTCTAAAAGGTTTGCCATCCCTGGCTTTGGGCGAATTAGGGTTTGATTTCGGATGTGCTGACTTGGACGTCTAGGGGGCGCTGTGGAATAGAGAGTTGGGTGAACGTGATCGGAACCAGTATCCAGAAGAAAAGTAATGACTGAAGCCTTGAGAGTAAACGAGATCACCATGGTCCTTGAGGGACAGAGCCCTGAGGACACAGAACAAGTGTGGATAGGATATGTTCCAAGGAACCCTGGGTGCACCGAAAGTACCCCACAAGGGTGAAAGTCAAAAATCCGAAGAACTAAGAAAATGCAAAAAAAAAAAAAAAAGAAGAAGAAAAAGAAAAAGAAAATGCACCGTGACGAGGTTGGAGGTGTTTTTGTCCCACCTTATTGTTGTTATCACCATTACCACTACCGTTGCCACCAGCACCACCACTACTACTAACTACCACCACCACCATCATCACTACTACTACCACCACCACCAGCACCATCACTACCCCTACCACCACCGTCACTACCACTAACTACTACCACCACCACCATGGTCACATTGTTGCACCTTTTTCCAGGAGCCTGCCTGTGTGCACACCATGGTACATTCAGTTATGTCCCCTTAGGCTCCTCTCGGCTGTGATAATTTCTCAGATATTCCTTGGTTTTGATGACTGACAGTTTTGATGTGCTATGGTCAAGTATATTGTAAAATGTCCCTCTACTGGAATTTGTTTCTTCTTTTTCACATGATTAGACTGAAGTTATGTATTTAGGGAAGGAAGATCAAAGGAGTAAATATAATTTTCATCACATCACACACATCCAGGCTAAATACTGTCACCATGATTTATGGCTGTCGATGTTGACCTCTGTTACCCAGCAGAAGAGAGACTGCTAGTGGAATGTATTTCTCCTCTGTAAAGTGATTCTCTCCTTCCCTCTCCTCCAACTCCGACTTTCTGTACTGTGCCCGTTGAAAGGAAGTTACCAGATAATGACCTATACCCAAAGAATGGGGAGTTCTGTTCCCCGCTCCTGTAGGGTGAAACATCCACAGAATGTATTTGGAATTCTTCCCTGCTGCTCTCTTCAGTAAGCTGTTGACCACAGGAAATGGGTGAGTGCTCTGCAACATTGTAAGAGGTAAAAAGAATTGAAGAGGTTTGCTTGTTCTCTGCCCCAGCTGTGCCCAACCAAACTCTGCATTCACAGAAGACTTATTAGTATTATTTCTTCTTCAGAAGCTAATTATCTGGCTTGCGACCATCTGCGCTCCTGGCATCTCACTCCTGATGTCAAGCTGGAGGCTGCTCTGTAGGGTGTCAACTAGCCAACCCATCCAAGGGTAGGAGGGAACGAAGAAACACTCGTCAAAGTAATGTGCGAAAGGATTTGTGGGAAAAGAGCCTAGAATTTCTGACTGACCTTAAAGTAAGCTTCCATGGGCTGAATTTCATTTCTGTTGTCTTTGTTTTTTCATTCAAAATGGCCTCAGCCACGTGGCAAGCACGGTGCTGACCAGTTCCCAGTGATTCTGTATCTCACTGGTCCCGGTCTTCCCTCCGGCTCTTTCCTAGGTCGTGCAGAGTGGCCTGCGACTGTGCGTCTGTCTGTGTGCAGTGCAGAGGAGCAAGGAATGAGAGAGAAATGGAGCACCTGGACAGACCCTGGCTCCATGTCTGAGGCATTCAGTCAAAGCTGTGGCCTCTCTCTCACGCTCTGCTTCCCGTGCTCTGCCCTCTGCGCTGAACTCTGGTGCTCAGAAGCCTGTGCGTGGGTGCGTTACCCTGTGGGGTGTAGGCCTTTGCTCGAGTGAAGACAGGGACGAAAGAGAGGTTAACCAGCTGGCCAGCGCCCTGGAGACTTTCCGGAAGGAAAGGGGCCCGCTCCCACCAGCCCAAGAGCCCACCTGCACTGAGCTCGGTTCTTCTACTTGATCCTGATTTTCCCCTTTGTCTAAGCACCTTCAGCAACGTCCTTTTCGTCCCCTGTCGTGCGCCTTCTGCCTCCCTCCCCACCCCCCGTGCGCCTTCGCTCACCTCTGCCTGCCCAGCCAGCCGCGCTCTTCAACGCCCAAGCAGCGGCCCACCGGCCCTCCTCCCGCTCAAAATTGCTTCTTCGCAATCAAAGCTGTCCTCCCGCTGCAAAAGTGGCGGAGCCACTGAGGCAAAATAATCTGTGCCAATTTGCATTTTCCTGCCTGTCATCTCTATTGTACAGTGTTTATCTGTCAAAAGGAATGGAAAGCAAGAACTGTTGTGAGCACAGAAAAGGATGAAACCCGCCCCATGTACTTAGAAAGGCGGCGCGTGCCTAACAGGGAAAGCGGTCGGAAAGCGCTGCCCGCAAGGCTGCCCAGCAGTCTCACTGGGACGTGTAAATAAATGTAAGAATCTCAAAATAGTATTAGTAAAAATGTAACAGTGTAGTCACGTAGTAATTATATAACACAGCCAATTAGAGCTTCAAAAACTAACTCAAGGTTATGGAATTAAATTTATATAATGGGTCAAAAATTTTAAAAACCCATTTGATCGTTTGTAATAGTCAAAGGCTAAAACGGTAAGACAATTCCATTTTCTATACAAATTCTTAATGGTCTTAATATTCTTCATATAAACCTATATATGTATATCTATGAAGTCAGCAACTTAGGTAAAGATGAAATAAAACAAGAATGTCTTGTCTCATCACTGAGTAATTTAATATTATTCTGAAAAATTCAATATAATAATACTGGAAATAAGAAAAAGGGGTTATAGCTCTTAAAAAGGGAGGAGCACATTTATCATTGTTTGCAGGAAATATGGCTGAATACCTAGAAAAATCCATGAGAATCAATTTTAAAATGACGAGAATACTAGAATGCAGAGAAGTCAATTGCTACAAGATAAATATAGCATAAATCTATAGTTTTCTTATCTTCTAAGAAGAACCAGTAAGAAGGCATAATTAATAAAAATACTGAGGCTAGAGGTGTAGCTCAGTGGTAGCACATTTGCCTAGCATGTGTAAAACCCTAGGTTTAATTCCCAGAATTATCAAATAAATCCCAATAATTTATAAATTAAGAGCATTGCCTGTGGAGACAGGTTGCCAGCGGTGAAAGCCCGTCATCTGTCTGCTTACTAATAATGTGGATGTAAACTCTTGCTTCAGTTTCCTCGGTCATAAAATAAGAATGTACATAACAGCTCTTATCTCATAAAACCGTCATGAAGATTAAATTAGCTAATATAGTAAAGATTTTAGAACCTACCGGCACATAATACACCCTCAGTCTTCAGGAGCTATTGTGACTGGTATTTTCCCCATTCATTGTAGTAAGGGTAAGGCCACCATAAAATGCTCAGCTGTAATTTGACTAAAAAAGTGAGGAACCTATATAGATAAAAGTATAAAATTTTGTTAAAAGTATCATAAAAATATGAAAAAAATGAAACAATCCATGTTCTTAGGAAAAAAAATTAATCCTATAAAGATGTCAACTCTTACCCAATTAATTTCTCACTTTTACAACTTTCTTTCTTTTTTTTTTTTTGGTTTTTTTTCTGGTACTGGGAACTGAACTCATGACCTTGCACTTTCCAGGCAGGCACTGTGCCGCTGAGCTAAATCCCCAGCCCCTTCTTTTACAACTTTCAATCACAATGCTAATAGAATCTTTTGTTACTTGATAAATATTATTC